AGAACAATAGAATTAAAGACTAGAATAGAATAGAATGGAATAGAATAATGGAATGGAATGGAATAGAATAGAATAGAATAGAAAATATGGAATGGAATAGAACAGAACGGAATGGAACAGAATAGAAGCTGGAAAGGACCTTGGAGAACCTATAATACCTATAATATCTATATCCTGTAAGAGCCAGTAATTCATTGAGAAGGGTTTGGTGGGGCGGGGGGGCTTGTTTTAGTTTTCTTTTTAATTATTTTATTTATACTTTTACTTACTTATTTGTTCATTGTGTTACTCATTTACTTTTTAAATTTTAGTCCAATGATGGAGGGCGTGTGTTTATCCCAAGCGTCTTTAAACTCAGTTACTGAGGAACGACCCACCACCTCCCCTGGAAGTTGAGCTCCGAGCTCCCGCTACTCCTTCTGCCAAGAAAGAAGCAAACCATCTCCTTTCTAGCTTTCCTTTTGCCCATTTCCCTCTTTCCAGCCTCACGGAGTAAAAAAACAAAAATTTCCACGAAAAGCACGAGAGTACCTGCAAGTTCGGGATCAGCTCGGCTTCAGCAGGCCCCGTTGCAACAGCACCGCCTCTGTTTTTTCCACAATGGTTGAAATCTCTGCCATGGCCCCTCGGCCTGTATGACCAGAAAGCAGGGAGGTCAATTGTGGTTGTTAGGTTGGTGCGGGGGGTGTCTACCTGTAATGTTATCTTTCCACCTCGCCCTAATGGAATTGGAAGGAAAGCAGAGGCGATATTCAGCCGGTTCTGACCGGTTCTGGAGAACCCGTAGTGGAAATTTGGAGTAGCACAGAAAACCGGACAATCCCACCTCTGACTGGCCCCGCCCCCCTCCATTCTCTGTCTCCCATTGGGCCCCAGCTGATCGGCTGGGTCTCCTTTGGTTGCCCTGCACAGGAGAACGGAGCTGGAAAGCAGGTTAGCGGGGTGGGGAGGGAATGGGGATTTTGCAGTATATCCTTCCCCTGCCACGCCTACCAAGCCACACCACGCCCAAGCCACGCCCACAGAACCGGAAGTAAAAAAAAAATGGAATCCCACCGCTGAAGGAGAGGCCCACCGACCTTCGTCTCCACAAACCAGTTTCTTCACTATGCAAGGGATCTCGACGTAGCCGAATTCTTTCAGTTGCCCCACCTGCCGAGCCGTGATGGGGTGCTCCCACATAAGGGTGTTCATGGCAGGGCAGAAGAGCAAAGGTTTGCTCACGTCCCAGGCACGGATGACGCACGTCTGCAGAGAAAGGCACAGCCTGAGGAGGGAATGGCCACCTGACCACAAGGAGAATGTGGTCAGACCAGGGGTGGGATTCTACCAGTTCGCACCTATTCGATAGAACCGGTTGTTAACATTCTAAGCAGTTCGGAGAACTGGGTTGTTAGAAGAAATTGCAGGGCTAATCCTGTATGGAAGGCAGGAAGGAAACATTCTGGTGTTGCTGACAGAAACTGCCTCTCCGTTAACCCTTATTACATTCTTGGCAGGACTAGACTTCCTGTCTCAGGAGCATCTCTGGAGTTTTTTTTCCCCTCCTTTGCTGGTACTTTGCTTGTGTGGAGTGACCATTCCAAGTTACAGTGGCATTGAAAAAAGGGACTTATGACCGTTTTTCACGCTTACGACTGTTGCAGCATCCCCACAGTCATGAGAGGCCAGGCGAGGGGAGATGAGTGCCTCGATGTGAGTGATGTTGAGTTGGCCACACCCAGCCAATAACATGACTACCAAGCCATGTCCACCCAGTCACATGACCACCAAGCCATGCCCACCAACTAAGCCACGCCCACAGAACCGGTTGTTAAAAAAATTGAATCCCATCCCTGGGTCAGACCTTTGGAGGCGGAGGCTGGTTGATTTATATAATAAACCAAGAAATAGAGAGATTGGAAGACCATGGAGATGTTGCGTTGGTCCTAAGTGTGAAAAGGGGTCATAAGTCACTTTTTTCAGTACCGTTGTAGCACTGAACAGTCACTGAACAAACTGTTTTAAGTTGAGGACTACCTGTGCTCTGTCTTGAAGGACTGACATATATCTTGGTGATGTAACTGTATCACTTGCGCGCTCAACATGCTCGCCATATCCTCATGGTTTACACAGGTGCCATTATTGCAGAAGGTTATGAAACATCAGTTTACCACACATATCTTAATGAGGAAGAGCTGGAATTAAAAGTGTCACGCAATGTTCCAGTAACTCACCAGTAAGTTGTCACAAATGCCATTTGCAATTTTGGCAAGGGTGTTTGCATCCAAAGGAGCCACCAGCATGAGGTCAGCCCAACGCCTCAAGTCAATATGGAGCACAGGGTCGGTGCGCTTTTTCCACATCTGAGGACAAGATACTGCTTCAATTAATGTTATTCACCCAGCATGCTTCGTCGTATTCTACATAAATACAACCCAGGTTACCTGTTGTGGTTCACCGACAGCAGGTGGAGACGGCTTAGGTCTCGGAGAGCGAGGACTCGGATGAGGGGCCTGCGTGGGATGCAGGGATGGGGCCAGGACCATCAGGGAATGGAATGCTGCCTTCGGAGACCGTGGAGGTTGGCAGCAATGAGGAAGAGGTCCCCGAGGAGCCTGTGCCCACTGGACATGTGCGCAGGGCTGCTCGAAGGAAAGAGCAGCTGCAACAGCACGGGCAACTCGGGAGTAAGGCTGCAAGGTAATGGCCCCTCCCTTAAGAGATAAAAGCCAGCTGAGAAACCGGAGTTCTTTGCACGAAGCAAAGAAGTTTTTGCACTCAAGCCTTGTAGATGTTCGGAATATCTTGGTTGGTGTTTGCAGATTCTTTGTGTTTGAAATATTTCTTAGTAACTTTACCTAGCGTTCTTGGCAGCCTTACACAATCTTGGCAAGGCTCGTGCTTATCAGAGACAATTAATTTGAAACAGCCTTTTAAACAGGAAGGAACGGAATTCGTAAAGAATCATTAATAGGTTTTGCTGTTACGTCCGTTTCGTGTTTGTTTCCTCGGAACAAGGTTTGGGTCAGAACATTACCACACTTCCCTGTTCATCTTCCTAGGCTTGGTAAAATGAACTCAGAACCTACCAAGTTATCACAATTCAAACAGTTCAAGATATAAAAAACACAAGATAATTTGCTGCTGCGTTCTACAGTTAACAACCCAGGTGCAAATCAAAGCTGCTTAGCCATAAAGAAGATAAACCTGTTTGAACGATGCTGACCTGCCATTCATCGGAGTCATCGTAGATTGTTACAGGAATCTCTTCGGCTTTATAGAAGTGTTTTGCATTTTCTGTTGTCACCACCCGAACTGCCAGCTAAAAAGAGACAAACACTGGTATGAATGAGGGGTGTCTAAAATGGAACAATAAATAAAAACAATGAAAAACTGCTCACTCCAGGTATCTTCAGAAGCTCTGCCACCAAAAGAGGCAACTTTAGCGCAGCTACGCTCCCAGTTACCCCAACGAGGATGTGGGCATTCTTCTCCGAAGATCCGGGGCAGATTGGTGGCAGAGGAGACACTGTAGCCTCCATGATCAGGCTGAGAGAGATTCTTTTTCACCTGCAAAACAAGAAAACATGAGGACTACTGCTCCAAATTAAATGCCTCTGTACTGCATTTGGTCAATTGCAAGACTCACTGGTTAATTTTACGTTCTATGTTCCACCTAGAGATGCTCATAGGGGACATGGGCAGCAGATAGATAGATAGACAGACAGCGTTTCAGATAGATTGGATGGTGGAGGGGGGGAGGGAGAGGAAGACAGGGATGGATGGATATAGATAATTGTGATAGATAGATGATAGTTAGATAGATAGATGATAGATAGATAGATAGATAGATAGATAGATAGATAGATAGATAGACAGACAGACAGATGATATAAATTATTGTGATTGATAGATATGATATAATTGTGATAGATACAAAATTGATAGATATAAAATTGTGATAGATGATATAAATTATTGTGATTGATAGATATGATATAAATGTGATAGATATATAATTGTGATACATATATAATTGTGGTAGATATAAAATTGTGATAGATAGATAGATAGATAGATAGATAGATAGATAGATAGATAGAT